TTGGTGAATGATTTTCAAAATACATTACAGAGGAGCCGTGATTTATCAATTTCCAACAAGAATATTTTCATACTCCTTAGGCGTGTTTAGACCTTTATATTGAAATTGTGATAAACATGAAAAATCACGAAAGAAGGGTAGAAACGTCAGTTTGTTTTCATGCCAAGACTTCAAAAGATAGCATCCATTCAATTATTTTAGAAAAAAAAAAGGTCTGAATGGTTCATATCACTCAAAACACTTGGGAAATGGAAATGGAGGCACCCTTTTATGGGCAGTAATGGAGTCTGGTTGTCATGTAGTGAAAACATTTTTGGGTTTAGATTTATTTAGCATTTTTAGAGTCGCCCAGGTTTTGAAAATATATATTTTGTGTAAAATATGAATCATATTTTTTATAAATATTCAAACTTCTATAACTTTTTTTCTGTTTCACATTCTTAAGTGATTTCACTTCTACAAAACTCTTTAAAACGAGACCAATCTTAAGTCTATATTCCACAGCATACGTGAATTACAACCATTTAAGTTCGAAATGTGCATTTTCAAGTATATTCAAAAAAGGGGGGTGCAAGTTAAGAGGTTAATTAACATTAAATGGCAGAAGACAGCAGGTACATTAGGCTGCTGTCACTTTAAGACTGAATGCACAGATCCAGTATTCTGATACACATGGGTTTTCTTTCTAAACTGTTTACATTCAATTAAGACAATGAGGCAATCAAATCCAGACGAACAAAAGTCCTGCTCATCATTTTTTCTTGTTTGTAAAGCAGTTTCACTCGGTTATAAGTCAGAATAGGGAAAGAAAAAAAAGACTATTGCAACTTCCATTTCATGCCGACTTTAAACTTAGAAATTTAACACGTGTGCCGAACCGCGGGACACGATCGGCACGGATCACGAATTAACTACGATCCGTTACACCCCTAATAGAGCAGAGCATTATCTTCAGTCACAAGATCATAAACATTATAAAAAGAGAAAAGTCACATTGCTGACTCCATTAGCGGTCGCAAGATGCTTTACAAATGCTCAGCTCTTAAAACTCTGAGCCATAACGGATTCTCTATCTACTGCATATCAAAACATGATCTCTGATTAGCTCCTGCACGGCACTGAATAAAAAAGAAAACTCCTGGATGTGCTGCGAGGGGATTAGTCTGAAACTCCTAGAGGTTTTCCTTCAGTTGGAGGATTATGCCAAGGTCACTAAGGCACTGGGAGGATTGGGCATGGGAGAGCCAGCTGTACTCCCTCTTCTGACGTCCTCACGGGGCACTAGCGGTCATGGTCGCTGCGGTCAAGCCTGCTCTATGTTGCCTAACTGGAGCAAAAGTTGGATGGTGAAGAGCCTAGCTTTGGATTACTCATGACTGGCACTGATGCCTAAGTGAGCAGCAGTGACATGAGAGCTTTTCCTCCAAGGATGGAAGCAGAGGTATGATAAGGCTGTAAACATCCTGAAGATCACGGTATGCATGAGAGCACAGACGGCTAACTGAGGCATCTCAATATCCCAAAACATGCTGTCTACACGCACACCGTCAAATCGCATGACCTCAACACAAAGTAACAAGTGTAAATGCGAGTTAAACACGGTTTCCTGCAGGGATTTAGAGATTTCTTTTAAACCTTGGCTAAACATAATTCTGGGTTATCTATCTGCTTCTCACTGCTCGAATGCTTTACTCTAGGCTAGTAATTAATCCTGGCTAGTCATGTTTAAACATTTCACACGGTACATTTTTAAACATTGTTATTTGTGCATGTTGCATATTTACAAGGTCAATAACATTGACTGAAAACCGCTTGTGAGCTGAAATGGTTGTCATCCAGTTTGATGGTTTTAAGTCTTGTTTATGTATAAAAGAAAAAAATAGATGCTGTAAATAAAACTGGCTGACTGTACAAAGCGCACTGATGTTTAATGAGATGCTTCATTGCTAACACTTTACAAGAAGGAGCAATTCATTAACAAGTTAATGCATTCGGTATCATGAACTAACAATTTCCATTTCACAGCATTTATTAATCTAGGTTGAGGCTAATTTATAATTATAAGTGCTATTGTTCATTGTGATTTCACATTGATTAACAATACGTTAATTTATACTTTGAAAAGAATATATTTCTTTAACCATTTTAACAAAGAACAATATATAAACTACTGTTATTAAACAGAGACGGGTTGAAAAAAGTATCTTTCAAGGCTGCATTTATTTGATCAAAATACAGTTAAAGCAGCAATATTGTCAAATACTAAAGTTATATTTGTTTCTCTTAATGTATTCAATGAATATGCTGATTTGGTGCTCAATAAACATTTATTATTATTAATATCATCATCATCATCAATGTTAAAAAAGTTTGAGTAAACTGATTTTTTTAAGAATCTTTGAAAATAGAAAGTTTAAAATACAGAATTTATTTAAATAGAAATTGTTTGAATACATTTACCATCACTTGAGCTATTTAATGCATCCTTGATTAATTAAAAATGCAGCAGTTATTGTAGTAATAATTATCCCTCACCCTGAACCAACCCCCATTTCCACTATATAGTAAGTACATGTAGTTAATTATTACCAAGTGTATACTTAAATGTATAATTACGCTGTAACATGGAAATTTTAAAATAAAGTGTATCCTAAATTGCATTAAAGGTAAGTTAAAAAAGAAATAAAGATTCCAATATTTACATTTAAACATTTGGCAGACGCTTTTATCTAAAGCAACTTACATTGCATTTCAAAGTACACATTTTACATTCTTATCAGTTTCAGTTTTCCTGAGAATCGAACCCATGACCTTTGTTTTGCTCTATCCTCTGCAGTGCAAAAATCACAGTTTTGGATTTGATTTGATTCAGATAATATTATACTCGCATAATATTTTGAGTTTCTGTTGATTTAACCAATCTCCATTCCGTTGTATTAACTTATTATTATTATTTAAATGAATTCAATATTAAGGCAACCAGGTACCTTACTTTAAGTTAAACCAACAATATTGTTTTAGTGTGCTCTTCTGTGTTCATCAATGCGTCGGGTCAGAGGTCACTCTTCTACTGTTATCGGAGGAACGTGATTCTAATTTATAAATTTGTAAACATGGATATATTTCTTTTACAAAAACATCGCTTTCAGAAGGCATTTATAAACCACCTGGAGCCGTATGGTTTCATTTTATGACGGATGTGCTTTTGGGGGCTTCAAAATCTCAGTTACTATTCAGTTCCATTATAAAGCTTGGAAGAGCCAGGATATTTTTTCAATATAAATCTGACTGTGTTTGGCTGAAAGTAGAAACTCATATACAACTAGGATGCCTTGAGGGAAAGTCAATAATGGGATCATTTTTGTGTGAACTATAACCTTTAAATCTACGAATCTATGTGTAAAATTTCAGAATGAACAGAAATCCATGCTGAAATGTTTTAAGTGTTACATATGAACTAACTCACTAACACATCTGTACAGGTCTAAGCTGGTATTTATAAATACATGGCTGAAGTATCTGACCTTACACAAAAATCTATTTTCTTATGCCTGCTTTTAGCTACCACACTTCCATCTTCCTGTAACCACCCAGGCACAAACAGGCCCATCCACAAACAGTCACCGAATCTCCATGTGACAGAATTTTAATGCTGTACATACACACAAACTGATGGGACACCTAAATCGAGCTGTTTAGATGTCACACTACATTCCAGAGAAGGAGATGAAAAAGGCACGGTTGCGAGTTGGCTTGAATGAGTGCCATTTTTGTTTTCATGCATTCTGCACTGGAAACAAAGTGCTGACACTGAGTGAAAGCTTTAATCCAATAAAGACACAAGCACTTGCTTTATATGGCACACCCTCACCCCAATTCTTGCCATTTGATGTTTGCATAGTCCTAGCACACTTGAGCTCTTCACAAGGGAAACGGAGGATGATTAAAAGTGTAGGCTAAAAGCACATGTTGTAAAAGAAGGCCCCTGTCATCCACTAGTGTCAGTGTGGCCTTTAAGATAACCTTCTTCTGTTGAGAATGAATACAATACAGACACTGGCAATGATCACGGTCCTTCAATAGACTGTACGTATTTGCAAGACCTCAGACTTGAGCTGCTATTATATAGGCTGCCATTTCCTTCTAGACAATTTTTTTTCTGTTTATCTGTTAACAGTGTTTTAACATCTGGTGAATAATGCAGTACATCATCATTGTCAAGCCCAGACATCACATCAGCTCCGAGGCACAATGTAATACGTTTTAAATAACCGTGGCATCCTGGATCTCTTCGATCAGAGAGATATTTTTCAACGCTAGCTTTTGAAAATCAAGATCGAGTTGATGGATTTCTGCAGGCCTCAGACGTAACCCATCCATCCACATAAAATATAGAGGTCCTTGGAGCTAAAACAAAAGAACGGACATCGCAAGCCGTAGCGTTTAAGTTTTATCATTCACAGAGAAGGTGTTGGAAAAAATAATATATACTTGGGATCTTCTCCAGCATTCAAACTTGTGAAGTGTCAAGCCTTGCAGGATTCATCTCCTACACCGGGGTTCAATTTATCTTCCCCATGAGCTGTATATGGCAAAGCGGTTTTGCATGACCACTGCCAGCTGCCTTAATCCTAGCCTGGGTTGCACTTTCTTGGTCTAATTCAGCAGATCTAATTCAGAGATCACATAAAAGCTGCAGGGCAGGACCCCCGAGCCTCTGGCCCTGCAAATCGGGAGACCGATCATTATAAAATAGTCCACAACATAAACACTCTACCGTCTAGCGTTTCCTCGCCTATAGCTGGCGCAGCACGCGCAACGGCACGTGCTGCTCAATTACATCTCCAATCTAGCCTTTGCCTGGTGCAGGCGAGTGATTTTAGTCCACTCGTGTCGGTCAGCAGAACTGCAGTACAAACTGACAATGCAAGGAAGGATGACACCCCCATCACGATCAGCTCTAGCAAATCAGATATGAAAAGACGAAACATAGGTCTTACCTCCCAAAACCTGTTGGAGAGCTGCAACGGAAATGGTGGGAAAGAGAGAGAGAGAGAAAAAAAGGAGAATAAAATCAACAACACAGAATACAGCATTTATAATTCCAGCTGTTGCAAACTAATGAGCATAATAAATGTAATTGCTGAATATAGTATACTGTACATGTAGGTGTAATTGCTAGAGAAGACTATCAGAATATTAAGTTAGATGAGGTTTTAGGTTATGGCTCATATTTAAGCAGGAATCAATTAAATGAAACTATATGCTAAACATGCTATATGCATATAACTGTCAATATACTTAAAGGGATGCTCCACTTTTTTTGGAAATGGGTTAATTTTACCACTCCCCCAGAGTTAAAGGTGCAATGTGTAACAAAGTTGAGTATTTATTAACAGAAATGCAATATGACATCCATAACTATGTTTTCAGTGGTGTATAAAGAACTTACTTAATTAGCCGTAATGTTTTTATTACCTTAGAATGAGACATTAATAGCTCCATAACCGAGGGAATCCCCTTCTATGAAGGTCGCCATGTTGTGACGTCATATTCCTACCGTAGCCGAACGCGAACAAACAGCTCTACAGAACGCGTTTCATCACTACCTTGAAAGAGAAGTAGCGGAAAGCTGGAAGCTAGCCTTACACTCCGTGAGTAGTGACTTTACCCTTGTGAGTGGTGTAAAATATGTAGTTGGGATTGTTTCATGTAACTTAGTTCTCCCTCGCTGTGTTATGGGTTTGTTATGTTGGGGATAGATGTGCTGTTACGTTCGTGAGACAGCTGATGATTAGTATTCATTTCATATCATTGACCGTAAAACAGTACGTTACAGGAATCACTAACCCGTCGATAGAGACTTTTACTAAAGTCTTTTATCACTAAAGTCAATCGCGAAGAATTTTAAAAATCAGAGAAAAAAAGCCTATTGTGTAGTAAATAGTATCTATGGGATGCGGAGATGACATGATTGTAACAGCTCGCGCACTTCCGACCTTTGGACTCATGCGATGCGGACGCGTCCCAGCTCAGCCACAGTAGCTCATATTAGCCAGCTAAACTATTACTACCCTGTTAGAAAAAATATATAGCTGCTCCCTCGCTGTATTATGGGTTTGCTACAGTATGTGGGGAGAAATGTGCTGCTGATTACGTTTGTCAGACAATCAGCTGATTAATATTTTATTAAATTATATATTAAAACCCTTGATCCTCACCTGACTATGGCTTTGTAAACAGACAGTATTCATGATGTGGTTTATAATGGACTGTGGTACAGAAACAGTGACAATGTTACACACTCTTGGCTTACTCTGGCTGGCTATTCTCTGCTGTCTCAGCCGACGAGATGTTTGTCCCGTTTTAGCAACCGTAGCTTCTTCGAAAGGGAGGGGTGAGCAGTGGGCTGAGCCCTTAGTGCAAACCTGGTGCAAACTCGCAACCGAACCACTAGATGTCGCTAAAAGTCACACATTGCTCCTTTAAACAGTTGACTTTTACCGTTTTCGAATCCATTCAGCTGGTTTTCTGATATTTAGAAGACTATCAGTATCCAGACAGTTTCTGGTCTCATTGACTTCCATATTAGGAAAAAATATATACTATGGTAGTCAATGAGACCAGAAACTGTCTGGTTACTGACATTCTTCTAAATATCAGAAAATCGCCTGAATGGATTTGAAAATGGTAAAACTCAACTGTTTAACTCTGAGGGAGTTGTAAAATAAGCCTATTTCGAAAAAAAAAAAAAAAAGTGGAGTATCCCTTTAAATCATTAAAATCATTAAAAGTATTGTATATATGCCTACTAGTAATCCTACACTTCATGAATATTTAGGTGTAGGAGCAAAACATCATGCGCATCAAAAAAAAAAAAAATGATACGCATCAGTAAGAAAAGCTTTCATTAAAGTAAAACAAGGAACTCAGAGGGTGAAAGTCATTTTAAAGTGGTTAAAGAGTATTACTCAAAAGTGTATGATATATTTGAGGGCATACAAAGTAAAATACCACCACTTGAGTCTACAGAATGTGCAAATGTTGTTGGCAAAAACCTCATGATTGCATCCTTGGGAGTCTACTGTAGATTTCAGTCTGACTAAAACATGATAAAAATTCATGCATCACTTATTTGAGTCATAAATCAAGTCATACACTCAAATGTTATTGTCATTACTGCAGATGACTGTTTATAGATGTCTAGATGATTAGACTCATGGGAGCTGCCTGAGATGCATGTTGCTTGTGTTGTTTTCTGAGATACAATGATTAAATCTATAAATGGGAGTTTCTTCGACTTCAGGAACTTTTATTAAAGCCAACAGATTGTTTGTTACATGAAGGTCATATTACGACTCTTGGACCTTTTTTCTTCTTCTAGAAGTCTCCATGGCTGAAGTTAACATTCCATTATATTAAGTGACTTACTTTTACAGCACTTTTCACAATATACATCAAAGCAGTTTATCAAAAACACAGAGCTTAAAATCACCATTCTTATTTTTGACAGAATGTTGCAATTTATTATAAATGATTTATCTGTGCACATCAATATATTTTTGTTTTAATTCAAGTGCTCCTTGAATGTATTTACAGAGGGCAGGGCTATATATCCAACAAAACTGATTCCAAACTGGCATTCAGATCTGCCTCCATCTAGTTATCAATTCCCAAATTTGTAAGATTCAATCAATTCCTGAAGATGAAATCAAGTTCCGCCCTACATTTTCGTCTTCCAACCAAAAGCCTTTTCATTTAGATTAGTTACTGGTCATGGCAAGAAAAAACCCTGAAAGATGTTCAACGGAGGAGGAAACTTATCCAAGCTTATCCTCTCCAAGGCACACATTAACACACAAAGCCAAATATTATCTACTTACATAAAATGTAAAATACTAATACTTGTTCATTGAATAAATCCAACAATTATTCCTATAAATGAATCTGGATGCAGACAAAAAGTAATTTGGGACTCATTAATACTATAATTTGAATATGATGCTGATCATGCTTCCACAGCAAGTTCTCCAAAAGGCCAAAAGGTCAGGTGCTACCTTAATGGCATACTCGAGACCACAGGACAGACTGGGACAAGCGCAGGGCAAATCAAGGCACGGAAAAGCCTTTACTGTGAAATAATAGGAGTCAGGGGAGGACGTCAAAAGCTTGCAAGGTGGGGCTTGTGTGGAGCTGGATGGTCTGGTCATGAAGGGTGAGTCAGATCACGGTTGCCACTGATAATGAGGAAAAGCAGCTGTGAGAAGAGGTGTTTGCAGCTCTTAAAAGGTGGAGGGCTACAATATTCACTAAAACACTAATGAGAACACATGGTGGCCATTGAAAACCGAGACCTAACCCTATGGCCAAATAAAGAGGAATCTTTTTGAATGTTATTTTGCGATCATCATTATGTGGCCATGGAGACGTTGGCATGTAAACGAGCACCCGGGAGAGAGAGCGCTGATTTATTTTCCATTTTCCTAATCTCGGTCGCTCAACGACTACAAATTAAATCCAAGGTTTCCAAGCAAATGTTAATGGACTGCTTTATCAATTAAGTAGTAATATATATGGCTACATGCGAAACCATGGGCAGCTGACTTGTTGCCTTACTACGCTATCAGGCAATGACTTTTCGGGAAGCGTTTTCACACCTCGGAACATCACAAAACGCATTTCGAACAGACTTCTGAGCCAGCATAAGGGTTTAATGATCTACAGCCAAATAGAGCTTTGCTGGTGACCAAGTGAATATTACTACAATAGTAATTTCTCACTAGAAATGGCATTAGGAGTTGGTCAAAAATTTACATTTACAAAAACTGACAACCAACCACTTTATTTGTTTGCTTAATTGTCACAGAATGGAAAGCACAGGATTGTGGAATATCAAAGGTAGTGAAGAATACATCTACGGTGAAAAAAAAAATATTGATAATAATAATAGGTCAGATGAAGGGATCTCATGGACACGAGGCAAACTAACATTGGATTCAGACATGCCTTGAAGCCTTCCTACCTTGAAATGAATCATCGAAGGCAGCATTTTTAAAGGGATACTCCACCGTTTTTTTATATTAAACCGTCATTCCCTTAAGTAAGACGAGTTGATACATACCTCATACACTTTGATCGCACTTAACTAGCCCAGTTCATTCAATATGGGCCAAGCAGAGAAACGACCAAATACCTCCACGTTTCGCTATTTAAATACAGTAACACGAGCATTGTAACTCGACCTAGGACGGTGACACAAAATAAAACGTTGCGCTTTTCTAAGCATGTAAAATGGATAACTACCACAGCAAGTGCTTGGGAGCACTTCCACTCGCCGCATATTTACAGTATCTATGGACTCGGCGCAGTAATATCATCACTCCAGAGAGTGAGGGGGGGAGAGGACTTTTCACGAGTGATATTATAGCGCTGAGTCGAGTAATATCATTACTCGATGAGTAATGTCGAGTAATGCTCCCAAGCACTTGCTGTGGTGTTCCGCCATACAATATAGTTATCCATTTTACACGCTTAGAAAAGCGCAACGTTTTATTTTGTGTCACCGTCCTAGGTTGAGTTACACTGCTCGAGTATTTAAATAGGGAAAACGTGGAGGTGTTTGGTCACTTCTTTGCTTGGCTCATATTGAATGATCTGAGCTAGTTAAGTGTGATCAAAGTGTCTCGCGCGTCAGAGCGATTGAGTGCACGAGCTGAGACGACATAGGAATAACAGTTTGATATGAAAAAACGGTGGAGTATCCCTTTAAGTTTTTGGATGTAGCCTATGTCTGTCGGATACCTCAGGTGTGTTACATGCGAGGGGAACATTAGCACACGCTGACAACATTCGCAAACGGAAACTGAAAGCACAACTAAAGCCGGGACAAAAGACGACACAAAACCCTCGGCGCAAATGCTGCTCGATTGCCTGGAGCGAGACAGTAAATCTCTTAATCACACTGTGTTTGTGGGAACTGCTTGCTTGGCTCTGGATATCAGGCCATGCAAAACTGTCAGCC